CCAAGTTACATGCCCTTGACCGGAATCGAACCTGGGACCCTTCAGTCCGCAGGCCGACGCTCTATCCACTGAGCCAAACCGGTTAGGACGGCTCAAGCCCATTTTGCCACACTCTGGACGGCATGTAATGGGCAGATTATCAAACAGGGCTCCATTTTCCTTGTGGAGTTGGCCCAGTCACCGTGGCATTCTCACAAGCACTGGATGTGGGAGCATTTGACACGGTAAAGATTTTGCCAAAGGCCACCACACCCAGCAGTGAGTGCCCCTTGCCTAGGTAAGGCCGGCAGAGTGAAGGTGAGGTGAAAGACCCTGGCAGGCACCCAGGGGCCTGAATGCCGGCCTGTCCAGATGCCTTAGGATCTGGGTTGGAAGCAGATGGAACTGCAGCCCCTGTGAATTCCTCGTCGCCACACAGAGCTGCCCACTGTCACCAAAGCTCGATCCCTGCCCTGTAGGCAGGCCTGTGCTGCTATGATTGCTGCCCTGGCACCACTCACACTGAGGGAGGGCAGGTGAGGCTACGGGACCCAGTGCCAGGGCTGGAGCTCTGCCTCTTGGCAGGGGCAGTAGGGGAGGAGGGAAGGAGTATCCCAGGCATCCAGAGGTCATGGTTCTTGCAGCCAAGAAGTGACTAGGAGAAAGCTTCAGAAGGAAGGAGGCGGTGAAGGGGTGAGTCAGGTGGTGAGAGAGGGCGCAGAGGCCAGACAGAGAGAACTGGGTGCCACCCAGGACTGAGATTTGGAATAGAATCTGCAAGGGAAAAAGAGGTCAGGGTTTGAGAGTCGGGGTGCCCAGGACGAGGCAACAAACCAGAGGGCCAACGGTGGACAAGGCGGGCCTGGCCTTGCCTTGCTCTGCAGTAGGGTGGCCCAAGGCGCTGTCGGTGGCCTGTAGGTCTGCCTACACACACCCCCACACACACAGGCTGGGGTTGCTGTGCCCCAAGGCACACTAGGGCTGCTGCAGCTTCTCACTGGGGAACCTCTCCACCTCTGAGCCAGAGATCATGGCCTACTCTCTTATTGGTCCAGGCCAGCCGTGGGCAAACTACGGCCCGTTTGAAATGAATAAAACTAAAAAAAAAAAAAAAGACCGTACCCTTTTATGTAATGATGTTTACTTTGAATTTATATTAGTTCACACAAACACTCCATCCATGCTTTTGTTCCGGCCCTCCGGTCCAGTTTAAGAACCCATTGTGGCCCTCGAGTCAAAAAGTTTGCCCACCCCTGGTCCAGGCCATGCCTGTGTGTGTGTGTGTGTGTAATCCTCATCAGAGGATATTTTCTCCAGTGATTTTTTTTTTTAAGAGAGAGCAGAAGGGAGCAAGGGGGAGAGAGAAACAGTGACTGGTTGCCTTTGACACACACCCCGACTGTCGGACTAGGGATTGAACCTGCAACCCAGGTATGTGCTCTTGACCGGGAATGGAACGGGAGACCCTTAGGTGTGCAGGCCGACGCTGTAACCACTGAGAACGATGCCAGGGCAGGCCATGCCCACAGCTTTTCACTCTTCTGCTCTTTATGAGCCTATTTTTCCCCCCCGGAGACCCAGAGCCCCTGGGCTGTAGTAGCCAGACCAGCATGCACTGCGTGTAGGGGACAAGGTGAGTCTTTCTCCCCCTCCACCCATGTTGCTGCTGCCTCCTTGGCTCCTGCGTGGGCTGAGCTCCACACCACACCACCAGCCTTCCTCACTGCACTCCTTCAACGCCTATTCATCCTCAGTCACCTGCCCCTCAGCCTCCCACAGGGGACCTACCTGCTCATCTGCAATGGACGAGTCTCCAGCAATTCTTAAGGGAAGGACACACCAGCTGTGGCCCCAAAACTGCATGTTCCTGTCTGCAGTCCAGCTCCTGTGTTGCCCACTGTCCTTAGCACACAATCTCACCCACCCCGACTTTGCCCACATTCAGCCATCCAGTGGGCAGTCTGAGGTTGCCCTTCTCACCAGCACCACCAAAGATCTGAGCCTCTTTGTCTGCCCTCAGGACTTTCCATCCCTAGAGGGCAAACCTTGGATGAAGTTTGCTACCCTGACCCCCTGTGAGACCGTCCCCACAGCCTCAGTTCCTTGTATCCCTACAGCTGGTTTGCACATTAAGGACCACATATTGATTCCATTTATATGAAATGTCCCAAAATAGAGACAAAGTGGTTTAGTGGTTTCCTAGAGCTGGGGGGACTGGGAAGAAATGGGAAGTGACTACTAGAGTGTATGGGGTTTCTTTTGGGGTTGTCGAAAGTGCTACAAAATTGTGGTGATGGCTGCATGATTCTGTGACTATACATTGTGTATTGTACATTTTATTTTTTTAACATATTTTTTAATTGATTTCAGAGAGGAAGGGAAAGAGAGATATAGATAGATAGATAGATAGATAGATAGATAGATAGATATCAATGATGAGAATCATTGATTGGCTGCCTCCTGCATGTCCTACACGGGATGGAGCCCACAACCCGGGCATGTACCCTGACCAGGAATCGAACCGTGACCTGGTTCACAGTTGATGCTCAACTACTGAGCCACACTGGCCAGGCAAATTGTACATTTTAAATAGGTAAAGTGTATGGTATATATGAATTCTACCTCAATAAATCTGTTACCAATGGGGGAGAAAAACACAGAACAAAAGAAAACCCCACCTAAACAAATCCATAGCTGAAGTTCAGAGCTGTCCATTGTCTCCTCTGCACCCTTGAAGGGAAAAGTCACAGTTTGAAGGCTTAGGGGCCAGTCCAGCCTGAAGTGGACATACGTTTTCTTGACCACCCTTCATCTGAACCCCCTTCTCATGCTGGAAACTCCCCACCATAAATCTAGATAGAAGATAGAGTCCACCTCCCACCATATAAGACCAGATACTTGCTTTCCCAGCAGCCCGGTGCAGCCATGTGACCAAGGCTTGGCTAATCCGATGCCTCTGCTGGGAATTGCTCTATCTAGAGCAAAGCAGGAGGGAAAGTGGGGAGTACCCTAGGTGGCTGCAATGACATCTTCACATCAGCACTCTGGTCCCAAGGTAGGACTTGGAGTGCTTTTAACTGCTCAGACCCCCCTCTGCACCCCACACACACTTTTTTGAGCTCCTCTCCAACCTTCTCAGTGTTTCTATGAGCCTAATAGTTAAATGGCCTTTTTCTGCTTTTATCAGCAAGAAGCTGTTCTTTGACTTTAAAGTAGCATTGACACGTGTCATCCGGGACTCTGCAGCACTAGATCCCTCACTCCCTCGGGGCAAGGCAAGCTATCCTGACAGCTACAGCCCTTCGCTTCCACCCAGTGGGAGTGGAGCATCGTAAGCTTCATCTTATATTTCTGTCATCAGAACAGCTTTCCCCCCATCCCAGAAGCATCCCGCAATAGACGTCCTAGTTTCTAATTCTGTCTCTCCCTTTTCTTTATAGCTGTTTTTTTTTTGTTAGTCTTTCTAATGTCTTACTGATTTCTTATGATTTAATATTTTTTTCAATCCTGCTTGGAATTTCCTGATTGTTAGCGTTTATAAACTTCAATTCTAGAAAATTCTCAGACTCTTTATTCACTCCTGGAACTCTGGTTATGTCACACCTTCTCACTCCATCTCCAGTGGTTTTCCAACCTCTTTGCCTTAGTTTCCATTTCTTTGTATCCCTGGGCTCCAGCTGTGTAACTTTCTCAGATCTACTTCAGGTTCATTCTCCTTTTAGGTGTCTAACTTGCTGCTTAACCATTAAGTTTCTCAATTCATATAGCGTATTTTTCTGTAGGGAGCGGCTATAGGTCTTGGATTGACCTATGGCAGGGCCACAAACAAGTTTCAGCTTGGAGGGCAGAGCTCTCCTAACATAATTAAGCTTGACCTTATAGTCCTCCCTAGTTCCTTCCTAGGTAGCTAATGTGCTGTGGGAGGTGCAGCAAGTGCTACCAAAACAAGGTGAAACTCACAAGAACATTGTAAACATGTTGAGCACTTCCCTTGTTTTGCTTTGTGGACTCTTGACTATAAAATAAAGCTTCGGCTCGGCTTGCAGGCCATGGAGCTGTCTCTTCATCAGAGAAGCAGCATCCCATGCCCCAGATGTATTCTTTTTTTTTTTAATTGATTTTTTTACAGATAGGAAGGGAGAGGGATAGAGTTAGAAACATCGATCAGCTGCCTCCTGCACACTCCCTACTGGGGATGTGCCTGCAACCAAGGTACATGCCCTTGATCAGAATCGAACCTGGGACCCTTCAGTCCGCAGGCTGACACTCTATCCACTGAGCCAAACCGGTTAGGGCCCAGCTGTATTCTCTTGTCTGTCTTCAATCCTTCACCGCCCCTCCTCAGGCTCACCGAACCTGCCCGTGCTGGACGCGGCACATTTTTCATTTTGAAGTTTTACTTTAATCAAACCAATTTGGTCCTTTCTTATAGTCTTTTCATTAGTCATACTTTTTCTTTAAACATTTAAAGACATTTTATATTTTGTATTTTTTACTTTCAACTTCTGTCTTTGCTGTTCAGATTCTGTTACCTATTGTTCCTAATGTTTCCTCTTGCTGGTGGTGGTTTCTTTCCTTGTGTGCTGGTGTTTCATAGTGAACACACAGTCCTTGAGATTTTATGTGAAGGAATTCCTGCAGGCCTGGGTTTCCAGTACAGTCCTAAGAGAGAACTGCATTTGCTCCTGCTGGGTGCCTGGAAGCACTACCAACCCCAGACCACTCTGAATGACCAGGTTGAAGATTTTTCCAGCCCAAATGTGTAGTATGAATTCTAGACCCAAACAGTATTGGGAGCCAGCTGTGCTGACATTACTGGGAATGCAATTTTTGTCCCCATCTCCTACCTCCCCTTGCATCCAAAACAAAAGCTAAGTAGGCGAGTTGTGGGATTGGTTCACTCTCAGATCTGCTTTTGGGGCTCTGATCTGACTTCCCACTTTGTAGGAGCCTTAGATTTTGGCCCCTAAGATAGTAATTCTAGCCACCCTCCCCCCCCCCACACACACACACAAAGCAGATGAGCGACAAGAATGTTTATTAACTGGCTTCTACATAAAGTCCCAGTCCTGGAAGCTGTCAACAGACTCCATGGCCTTCACTAACCTAAGGTCACTGACCCTTTTTTTCCTCTGTCAGAATTATTGATTTCACAGGGGTTGGGAATGTTCAGCCTGCGGGCCACATAAGGCCCATGGCATCACTTGGTCTGGCCCTGCCAAGGCATTAGGGGTGAGTTAATTAAAAGTTTGATCAAATATGGCCGATAATTTTTAAACTGGTAATATTGTATGGCCCATGAATGATGTTATAAATATACAAATGGCCTTTGGCAGAAAAAAGGTTCTCATCCCTGGTTTAAGGCAAGGATGGGAGGACACGAGTACATGATGAACCAGATCCAAGCAGAGGAGTGTGGCATGGCGAAGGCTGAGCTGTTCCTGTCCATCCCTGGGGCAGCCCAAGAACCCTTTAGTCATCACTGAGCCAATCTAGTTCAAGGGCAGCTGTGATCCTTGTCCTTGAAGGGGAAAGATCCAGAACAGGCCAAGCCCCAGTCTGTCCCCACAGACACAGTTCTCACTGGGGCAGTGGCAGAGCTGAGGTCAGTTCCTATTAGTCCTTATTCAAAGGGAGATGTCGCCTGTCTTTGCCTGCGTTTCGGCGCCTTTTTCGACTCAAGAAGCTGTCTAGCTTCTTGCTGCGTTTCAGCTCCTTGAACTTCTCAGCTAGGACCAGCTGGCGCTGTTCAGCTAGAGGATCGGGAGAAAGCAAGCTGGTAAGCAAAAGCAGAAGCACCACCCTCTCCCTGTTCCCCAGCCAATAATTCTCAACCACTGTGCTGGGAAACATGACTTAAGGGTTCATGGTGTGTGCAAGCAGGCTGTCTTTTTCTATGATTCCTTCTTTCACAACTCAACTACTGTGAGCTTCTATGTGCCCAGTCCAGCATATGTGGGGAGTACAACAGAGATACAAGCGACACCCTGCCCTGGCCACGTAGCTCAGGTGGTTACATGGTCATTCAGATATGCCAAGGTTGTGGGTTTGATCCCTGGTAAGGGCACATACAAGAAACAAGCAATGAATGCATAAATAAATGGAACAACAAATTGATGTTTCTTTCTCCTCCCACTCCTCTCTCTCTGAAAAATCAAAAAACAAAAACAAAAAACCATACGGTGTCATATCATTAAAAACAAAATAAATAAAAGCAACACCCCCTGCCGATAATCTAATTAGGGAAATAAGAATGGGCACCTCCTCCCCACAGTATTTCTACTCTCCTCCTAATTTACCATGGGATCCAGCACTCATGCCTCCTTTAGGGCCTGCGACCCCCCACCCCTGTACCTAGCCTGTAACAGCTGAGCCCACTCACATTTCTTCAGGAAGTACGGACGATGGCCCTGCTGGGCCTGCGCCCGCCGCTCCTGCTTCAGAGCCAGGCGCAGCTCCTGCTGCCGCTTCCGTTCCTGCTGTGCCATTTCTTGCTGCTCCTGAGGAGCAAAAATGAGATGGGTGTGAGGGACTGTGATTTACCCCCTGCCTTGAACTACTTTCACCCCCACCCACGATCTGACTCACTCACCATTCGCTGAAGCAGCTGCTGCAGCTTCTCATGCTTCTCCCCTGAACGGTGCTTCTTCAACTGCTTTTTCACAAGCTCCACAGAGGGAAATGATTTGATGGTTAGCATGCTGAAAATGTTAGCTGCAATTCTGTGCCAGGCATTACTCTAAAACAGTGGTTCTCAACCTTCTGGCCCTTTAAATACAGTTCCTCATGTTGTGACCCAACCATAAAATTATTTTCGTTGCTACTTCATAACTGTCATGTTGCTACTGTTATGAATCGTCATGTAAATATCTGATATGCAGGATGGTCTTGGGCGACCCCTGTGAAAGGGTCGTTCGACCGCCAAAGGGGTCGCGACCCACAGGTTGAGAACCGCTGCTCTAAGAGGTTCGAATGTTAACTCAGTAACACTATGAGATAGGAGTTATTAGTTCTTTTTATGATTAGAAAACTGAAGCAAAGCCAAGTTGAATAACTTGCCAATGGTAAGCTAGTAAACTGATGAGCCAGGATTTGAATATAAGCACCAAATTAGGGAGAATTAAATCTGCCCATCACTACGTTCCCAGTTCCCTCTGCCTGACTCAAACCTGTGCCCTAGTTTCCCAACCCCGGACACCAGTGACGCAGCCGCATGCAGCACACCTCTTTCTCTTTGGCTCGGATGTCGTTCAGGAATTGATAGGTTTTGTCAAACACTTCAGGATTATATTCCCCTGACAAATCGTCAAAGCGGGGGTCCCGGGCTACCTTTGGAGAGAACGGAGAGAATATGAAAATACAGTTCAGTCTCCTTTCACAAGAAAGCACTTCCCTGCCTCTTTCTCACCTTCTTACTGATGGGGACAACTTGACGCAAAAATGGCACCCGGACCTTGGCTGACATTTCCAGAGGCCTACGGAGAAATTACAGGACAGGTCCAGGGGACTCGTCTTGGCCAAAGGCCTCCCCCCTGCCACTTAAGACAGCAGACACCGACTCAGGTCCCAGACATCCTCCAACTCCTGGGGCAGGCCTTGCACCTCACCTGTGCTTATCTGCAACACAGGCATTTTGGACAGGGGGTCTAGAGCCTTGCTTCTTAGTGCTGCTTCCAGCTACCAATTGTTTGTATGTCTTAGTCCCCACTTGGCTCTGCAATTCCAACAGCTCCTCAAAGGACATGTGAGATGTGTCTGCAGAAGGAGGTGAAGATAGGGGACACACACAATTGAGCTCAGCATTTCCCGCTGCTGGAAAGACATCATTCCATTCTCATTCTTAAGGTAACTGATCCTTTCCAATACCCCATCCAACCAATCCCTACAGATCCTGGGCAGCACAGGCTGTCATGGTGCTGTCATCTAAGTTCCCAACGGTTCCAGCTACCTTGGGGCCTCACCTTGCTAAGGAAGGTGTATATGTAAGGCCAGTGGTGGACCAAGTCACAGTCCCTTCCTTTTCACCCTCTTTTAAATTATTCCTTCACAGGTTTCCCTAGAAGGGCCTGTCTCCCTTGCTGTTACTGTTGCCAATGTTCTGGTTCATCCTCTCAGCACCTCACCCGAATCAGTGCTCTATTCTCCTAACTGGTCTCCCAACCTCCAGTCTTACTCCTCTCAAAGTTATGTTCCCCACTTCAATTTGAGAGAGACATCTAAAATGTAACTCTGGCCCTGGCCGGTTTGGCTCAGTGGATAGAGCGTTGGCCTTCGGACTGAAGGGTCCTGGGTTCGGTCCCGGCCAAGGGCACGTGCCAGGGTTGCAGGCTCGATCCCCAGTGTGGGGCGTGCGGGAGGCAGCTGATCAATGATTCTCTCTCATCATTGATGTTTCTATCTCTCTCCCTTTCCCTTCCTCTCTGAAATCAATAAAGAAATATATTTAAAAAAAAAACAAAAAATAAATAAAATGTAACTCTGCTCTTATCACTCCAACCTCATTACCTACTCCCACATAGACTTCAGATCATGTCACTCCAGAACTCAAAACTCCCCAGTGCCTCCCATCTTTGCTCAGCGTCAAGGTGGCTGGAAGCCCCAGGAGACCTAGCCCCCAGGTTGCATCTAATCTCATTTCCTACCAATCTCTTCCTTCCACTCCTCTCGTCAACTGGCCTCCTAGCAGTCCCTGAGCAGGAAGGTGTTCTCTGCACTTGATGCTGCCCCTGCTTGGAGCACTTTCTTCAGATACATTTCTTACTTCTCCGGCACCTCCTTCAACCAGGGCTCAAATGTCACCTACTCAGTGAGGTCTCCTCTGATTACTTATAATTGCAACCCCTCCCCTGCTTTCTCTCCATAACCTTGTCACCTCTTTGGAAAACTGAGATGTAATTCACATGCCATAAAATTCACCCGTTTACAATATACAATTCTGCTTTGCTGCCTTTTAATAGATTAATTCACGTGTCCTTTTTTTTTTAACAGCCCTTTCTAAATGGTAAGTTCCACGAGGACAGTTTTGGGCTGCTTTATTCACTATTGCATCTCCAGCATCTAGAACTGTGCGTGCATACAGATACTCAATAAATGTTTGCCAAATTTCTTTATATATATAAATTGATTTCAGAGAGGAAGGGAGAGGGAGCGAGAGATAGAAACAAATGATGAGAATCATTGATCGGCTGCCTCCTGCACGCCCCCTACTAGGAGTGGAGCCGGCCACCAGGCACCTGCTCTTGACTGGAATCGAACCGGGACCCTTCAGTCCGCAGGCCGACGCTGTCCTCTGAGCCAAACCCGCCGGGGCTGCCCAATCTCCTTAATCTTGACCTACTGAACCCTTCCTCAGCCCCCCCAGCCCTGGCCTCGGCGCACTCCCACAGGCGTCTCAGCCCCGGGGAAATCTCATCCTCCTGGGAAACCGCTCAGGATGTCCCAGCCCAGGACGCACCCCCTCCCCACTTCCCACGGCGCCGCGGGCGCTCCGCGCTGGCTTTTGGAAGAACTTCGCAGGCTCTCGGGACCTGCGCTCCTCCCGCCCCGCGGCCTCCCCCTTCCGCGGGTCCCGGCCCCCGCCGTCCTCCCGCCCCGGCCCACCGGCCTCCCCCTCCCGAGGGAGACCAGATACCGACTTAGTGTTCTTGGCGACCTATTCGCTTC